AATTATATACAAAGCAATGTTGGCATACAGGTAGTTTCTACCCATTCAAAAAGTTAGCAGTTGAAGTAATGAAGTGTTTCTTTCCTGAATCAAACTCATCAAATGAAGGGGTAAGTCACTCTTGCATAGGATCAATGTGACCAGCACCTCTTGCATACAGCCTCAACGGTTTTAATGTTTAGCTGAGGCAACAGATGTGCTAATAGAAACAACTGACTTTGCTCAAGGTCAAAAGTGTTATTTTAATAAACAGGCTGAAAATACAACCAATATTAACAGCATTTTGATCGATGGTATGTTAATCTTATAATAATGAAAACCGCCGAGCCTCACTTCTATCATCAAAAGTTACCTTGCCATATCCTCCTTTTCCAAGAACTTTTAAGAGCTCAAAATCATATGTGCTAACTTTGGATCGTCCAGGATTTACTGTACTTTCTGTTAACTCTAAGGTCTCCATTCCCTCTTCACTAGAATATAAAGTACAAGTTTACAAAAGATAAGAACTTCAAACTACATCAATGGAATTGTAGGCGATACAATAAGTCTGTGACTAAATTTTTTATACAAAGAATACTGTTGAGGATGATGGATAAAAGAGTTCTGCAGATATCAATATAAAGACCTTTTTTCTCTATTTAGCCTCCTGACGTCAGACGTAATAAAATAGGCTTGTACAGCTTTCAATTATGGGCAAATCAAGAGTTAGTAAGCAAAACAGTATAGAGCTTACTCCCCTTGCTCTTTACTGTATACTTCACAGACATATCACCAATTTTTTAAAAAATATTTCAAATGTCAAAGTCGAAATGGGGTGCAATAACTAATTTAGGAAAATGGTCGTGGCGTACGTCACGGCTTACGATTTTCGCCGTATTCCTAAATTTTTGGAAGTCAGCGGTACGTCATTGATCTTAATTTTCGGCGTACAGATACGATTTTCGGGCGTAATTTACGGCCGTACGCCCGTTAACGGAAGCCCTGACTAAATGAACTTTTTATAAGAAATTATAATTAATGTACAACTAGGACAAATCTAGTACTTACATGGGATCATTTGCTCTCGACAAATCCCTCCTCAACTGAAATGCAAATCATTCAAAAATGCTACATTAACATGACACATATTATTTCGAGGATGCCATTCTAACAAAGTACTGTATTTACCGAAAATCTGAGTTTATTTCCTATACACAAAATACAAATCACACCATTATGTTACAATTATTCTTAGCCTCTAAATTCTAATAATTAGAGATAAAATGTTTGACATGTAATGACTGACCTCCTTGCCTTCTCAATTACTAGCATAAGGTAGCAATCAGACAAGCTTGGATAGAAATAGTAAGGATTATTGCTAGGAGTGCATGTATTCTCTTCCCCATTTTTAAAATATATTTTATTATTTCCCCAAATAGGAAGGGCCCACTTCCCCTTCCTGCCAGCGTGGGGAAATCAAGGATATCAGGCTCAATTATTCTCAGTTCTTGAGCATAGATAATGTATAATTTTTAAGTTCAAAAAGAGCCATAATTCTGTCAAAATCCATGATAAAGATATTTATGCTCTCAAAAACACTGAAATGTGATGCTGATTCTGGGTTGAGTACAACACTTTGCTTTTCTTATTCTTCGAACAGTGGAACTTACAAAATAAGTTTTCATAATAAACATATTCACCTACATGTACATAACATAGTCATTCTGTTATTCTGCATTGTCAACAATAAAGAAAATTTGAATGTCCTTACTATATCAGTACAATTTATAACAAATAATGATATGCATGCAGCCTCCCCTATAAGTCTCAACATTTTGACTGCAAGACCGATCAATTTTACAAGTTGATATTACAAAGATGTCGGGCCACTGTCATTTATACATAATAGCAGCTCGAAGAGCTGGACCAAAGGGCCTGCTTGCAAAGTGAGCTTTACAGTAACACAAGTACCTGCTAGATAGTGATGGTTTTGAAAACTTTCGTCCAAGTACTAAATTGACACATCGCAACTTTTGGAATTAAAAGATAACGATAAAAAACAAGGTATTCCAATAGAAAACGGAAGCATAGAATGGTGTCTTGCGCACTTATATTGACCTTTTCGAAAACCTAGCTAAACACCGTTTTCCGGTACGTTACCGTTTTAGCTCTGGGGAATTACATCAAATGAAGTACATAACACAGTTACGTGATATTTCGATTTTTCTATCATTATTTAACAGTTTAAGGTGAAAAAATTGATGTTTTTGAAAGTTATCAATATTCCTTTAATATCTATTGCAAATTATTCAAAAAAATAAATTGTTTATAATGAAAATCAATAAAATTCAAACAGACGTAGTAATAAATAAGGTTATTTTCTGCGTAAATTTGTGTATTTACTTTATTTTTTGTATGGAATTATTCATACAATGATATCTAATTATTTTCTTATAAAGAAATAATTACTTTATTTCAATTTGATTTTAAAAAAGGCCGAAAACATCGAGTTCGCTATTACACTCCATTGGGTGAATTCCCCAGAGCTATGTACAGAAAGACAAAGTACCGGAAAACGGCGTTTAGCTAGGTTTTCGAATTCGTGAATTGGAACCATAATTGAACAGGGAACCAGAATAAACGGAAGCAGTGTATAAAATAACGAATGACAATTTCAAAACGGAAAATGTGAAATAAAAATGAACGATTACTTTATACTATTTCACGGTAAAAGTAAATCAAGCTCGCTTTGAGGCTTTGCCTTTTTCATATTAAAAAGCCCGCCTGATAAAATCAACCAGTTGCATTGAATAAAAATTTATGCATTACAATAAGCAAATAACGGCTTTTTATTCTTGATACAAGTTTTGTAACCAAAATCTTTCACATTGGTTTTAATGTGCAACCAGACTAAAAAATACTATAACCCCCTCCCAGAATTGGTTTCACTTGTGATCAGCTGACTTCATGATCAGATAATTTGACATTTGGTTTCTTGTTCAGTTTCCCTCGAAATAAATACAGACCATGATAAAATTTACATTAAAAATGACATGTGCTAATTTGATATTATTTGACAACACACTAGACAGTACGAAAAGATGTATTTTAAACATAATAATGCTTTTGAGGCTTTGTTTCGATAAATGGTGAAATGCGCAGTATGTTATCTCCCTTTACGGACCTGTGTTGGCCCTTCTGTTATCGGATACTCCTCATCCGAGAGCTCCTCCTCGCCATCCCCACCTTCCCGTAACTCCATGTTGAACACTTCTGCCATAATTTATGTTTTCTTTAAATAAACTAGCCTAAACTTTATGATTTCATTAAAAAATAAACTCATAGTCGGCGAAATCTGTCGTGAACGAGGGATTCCGTGTGACGCAGTGTCACGTGATGACTACTCCTTGCTTTAGCCCAATCAAATTTAGTCTAATATTTTTGAGGTCACGGTCGGTAATAGTAAAATGTTTTTTGATTGGTCAAATCTTGGGAGCAGTGTATCATTTTATCTACACAAAATCAGAATCTATCGAAGGTTATAAAACACTAAATATCGTTCGCAAACCCGCCAGATTTTGTGCCGAAATCGTACAAAATGTCGCGACGAACGTATAGAAACTTCGATCTTTTATAACAGTTGTTGAAAACAGCAAGGAACATTTTGAATCCAGTGGCCGGTAGAGTCCATGGTTTGACTCCGTTTAAGAAATCCGCGACATTTTTTTCAAGTGTTGTAGAATTTCTACAAAAAGGTGAGGCTCGCGACTTTTTGTTCCTCAACAACAGTCTCATAAAACATCGCGGCGAGTAAAAGCAATTTTCAGCCGCGAATTTTTGTGCAGAGACATGATCCCGGCATAAAAAGTCGAGGCTTAATACATAAACTTCACTTTTTACAAGTGTGCATCAAAACAAAATATCGCTGATTATATAGTGGCCGCAATCGGCTACCTAGCTAAAGTTTGTTTGTTTCATTTTACGCCTTTTCTCAGAGACATAGATATCTATGTCTCTGTTTTTCCTAACCATCGTTCCTGGAGAGTTACACCAGTACTAGACTACCTTCCTCCGCGCTAAACTACCAAAGCATCTCCCGGGATCGAACCCACGTCAGAGAGGTAACTGGATTAGAACTCATCGACTCTAACCCCTCGACCACGAAGGCGGTTACCTAGCTAAAGTATGTTAACTAGCGTTGCTGATTCTACTGTGTAGACAAAAAATGTCGCAGTTTCCTTTATAAAAGTAGACTTTTTACGAAAGAAGTGTGACATAAAACCTCGAGAGTTTCTGTAAGCCGCGCCATTTTATACAATTTCACATAAATTATCGCGGATTTCTTTTTTTAAAAAGTTGCCCGCGACATGTGAAATGGACGTTACCGGTCACCATCTCAGGAATAGAATCATTAAAGCAATCCTGCAACTTTTTTTATTATTCCATGGGATCTCCCTGTAGAAAGGAAGTGAAATAAGATGGGTTCGTTATGTCAGTTTAAATTATCTAGTTAGTCTGCAACCAATATCCACAATAGAAAAAGCAAAATCAAAAACGAACAAAAAAAAAAAACAACACCAAATATCTTTTATTTCATCTCGTCTGAAAACTATAAGGTTGAGCTTTTGCGAACACAAGATTTCCGGCATCGTTACCTTTAATTACTTTTTACCTTTTCAACCTCCTTTCCAAAGCACTGAGTAGATTTCTGACAAATCTTCTACTTTATGAAAGTTATTTAAATCGCTCAGGAAGGTCTTATATGAGGTTTATAGGTAGGTCATGGGGTGCTAAATATAGATTTTGTGAAACCTTAAAAGCTTTGCCAAACATTCTTAATTAAGTAACTATAGAAGCAAAATACTGACATGGCACATGATGGCTTTGTCTCTCTTTCCAGAAAACAAAAATGCATTGGAATTTTGTTAGGTTGCCATTTCCTATGGTGCCGTGAAATTAAATGATGTTATAGGTATATGCAGGACTGAATTAATTTTGATTTTCAAAACTACAAAACTAAATTGTATCCAATTTTTTTCATTTATTTTCATATGAATTTACAAATTTGAAAGAGAAAAGTAAAGGTATCCAAAATCATGTTGAGCATCTTTTATAGTGCAGTACGCCACCTGTAAAATAAAAATAATATCATTTTCAAAAGTCACTAACAAAATATTTTGAAATGCTTGCCAGAATGTTGATAATACTTGAAGATACGTTATTTCACTCGTAATTTATTTATATGTTCTTAGACTAGTTCAAATAAAGAAGAAAGTAAAATTCTCAAAAAGAATTATAAATTAAAGCTTTAAACGGTAATAATTAATAAAATATTACTGACAGTAACAAAAAATGTCTGAAAAATATAAAAATGACTTCAACTTCAGAATTACTTTTACCTTATCAATAGAACTGTGAAGTTCACTAGCAGCGTAGATTGACAAAACGCCACAGATGCTGTCATCTCTCTCACTTACACTTTCACAAGCATCATTTCCAACGGAGTTGGCCGCGATCTCGTCATTCACCTGGTTTTGAGAATCGTCGTTTGGCAGGGAAAGTTGCTTGGAGAAGGTCGAAGTAAAAGATCTTGGTACAAATTCTTCCGCCTCTGGTCTTAAGTTAGAAACAACTACCTTTGGGAATTCATTTGTTGCGGGGTTTTGCTGTGCGTCAACAACAGCCACGGTACCTTCTTGCTTTTTTCTAGCATTCTTTACTTTCTCTAGATATTTCTTTTCACGGTACCTCATCCATCTCTCCAATTGTTTCTGAGAACGCTTCCGTCTTCGTTTTTTCGCACCATTTCCGTTCATTCCGTCGCTATTATTTTCATCCATAACTATGAAAAGAAAATTTTATAGATATGTATACTTCAAAAAATGTTTTATCTATTGTTTATAAAAGCAAGGAATTTTGAATTTTTATTCTTAGTATTATACTAAACATGACAAAGGACATTAAAGCCACATAAACATTCAGAATTCCTTGAAATAGGGTCTGAAGGATAATAATAAATTATAACATACACTCTGATTAAATGAGCAAAAGATGATGAATAAAAATATTACAAATTTATTACCTTCAACGTCTGGTACAGTCATTAATTGTTTTTCGTTTGTAATACACTCGGTTTCTTCCATATTTCAATACAAATCGATTGAAAGTTCACTGCTGTTAAAAGTTGTAGGATAAACTCGTTGCTACGGTAGAATTATTGCGCTGCGACGTCAATACAAACGTCACGTGACGTCGACAATAAGAAATCAAGAGTTGTCGATCGTTATATACGTACAATGTATATGGTATTTGATGTAAGGGTCGTACTTTGTATTTATGATATAGATTTATATATATTTAGAAAAAGCAAAAGCAAAAATGAGCAAAAACAACAACAACAACAAAAAAAAACACACACACACACACACACACACACACAAAAACATCAAATTACTTTACTCATCTCGTCTGAACGCCTTGTCCTCGTCCGTTGTTACGTTAGATTACTTTTTAACTTTTTAACTTTTCAACATCCTTTCCCAAAGCAATGGGTATATTTTTGACCATTCTTCTTAGGAATAATCCTTTATGAAAGTTATATAGATTGCTCCTATCTTATATGAGGCTATGGGTAGGTGGTTTTCGAAACCTTGAAAACTTTGCAAGAAGTATAGCAGCAAAACACTGGCATTTCACATGCTAGCATTGTGATTTTGTCCGGTTGTCCTTTCCTATCGTGCCATAAATTTAAAATGCTATGATTGTCCAAAGATATATAGGGGACTGAATATTTGTTGAATTCAAAAATAAAAAAACAAGTTGAATCTTTTTTTTTTCATTTATTTTCAAATGAATTTACAAAGTTGAAATAGAAAAGTAAATGTATCCACAATCACGTTGAGCATCTTTTGTAGTGCAGTACACCGCCTGTAAAATAAAAAAAATATCATTTAAAAAAGTAACTAAAATATTTTAAAATGCTTGCCAGAATGTTGATAATACTTGAAGATACGTTGTTTCGCTTGTCATTTATTTATATGTTCTTAGACTAGTTCAAATAAAGAAGAAAGTAAAATTATCAAAAAGAATTAATAAATTAAAGCTTTAAACGGTAATAATTAATAAAATATTACTGACAGTAACAAAAAATGTTTGAAAAATATAAAAATGACTTCGATTTTCAAGAAACTAAATCAGTATGACTTTTACCTTATCAATAGAACTGTGAAGTTCACTTGCAGCGTAGATTGACATTACGCCACCGATGATGTCATCTCCCTCACTTACACTTTCACTGGTACCATTTCCAATGGACTTAGCCACGATCTCGTCATTCCCCTGATTTTGAGAATCATCGTTTGGCAGGGATAGTTGCTGGGAGAAGGTCGAAGTAAATGATCTTGGCACAAATTCTTCCGCCTCTGGTCTTAAGTTAGAAACAACTACCATTGGCAATTCATCTGTTGCAGGGTTTTGCTGTGCGCCAACAACAGCCACTGTACATTCTTGCTTGTTTTTGGCATTCTTTACTTTCTCTAGATATTTCTTTTCACGGTACCTCATCCACCTCTCCAATTGTTTCTGAGAACGCTTCCTTCTTCGTTTTTTCTTCCCATTTCTGTTCAATCCGTCGCCTTTATTTTCTTCCATATCTATGAAAAGAAAATTGTATAGATATGTCTACAATGTATTTCCAAAAATGTTTTATTTAATGTTAATAAAAACACGGAAGTATTATACTAAACATGACAAAGGACGTTGTATACATGTTAAAGCCACATAAGCATTCAGAATTCCTTGAAATAGGGTCTGAAGGATAATAATAAATTACAACATACACTCTGATTAAATGATCAAAAGATAATGAATAAATATATTTCAAATTTAATACCTGCAACCTCTGGTACAGTCATTGATTGTTTTTCGTTTGTAATGCATTCGTTTTCTTCCATATTTCAATACAAATCGATTGAAAAGTCCTCTGCTGTTAAAAGTTGTATGACAAACTCGTTGCTACGTACGGTTAATTATTGCGCTGTGACGTCAATAAAACGTCACATGACGTCAACAATAAGAAATCAAGAGTAGTCGATCGTTATATACGTACAATGTATATGATATTTGATGTAAGGCTCGTAATTTGTAATTTGGTAGATTCCCTTTAACAGTTTTATGTCAAGAAAGAGCATAAAAATTTTGGATAAAAATAAAGAAACAATCTATACCATAATTGTTTAGTATATATAGTGATCAAGTATATAACTTTAGAGGACCTTCTTGAGCTAAAAGTATTCACAATATAATTAATAACTTACAGTGTAGGGCTTTCAAGTTGTATAGAGAATTTTGAGAATAATTGTAACTATATTGTATTATTCAAACAGCATTTGAGAGATCAAAATGGCACGAATCGATTGAATTAATGCGAAAACTCGATTACTATAGGATGTATAAAATGATTTTTGTTTTGAAGAGTATCTTAATATTGTTGATAATAGCAAATTAAAGAGATAACTTTCATTTTTTAGGCTAAGTTCTCATACATTAGAAATTGAAACTTGAAGATATATTGGGGTTGAAAGAAATGCTAGATTATGTGAATTTTGTTCTCAGCAAGCTGTTGAATCGGAGTATCATTTTCTTTTATGCTGTCCATTTTATAGAGATTAAAGAGTCAAATATAAATTGCCACACTCTTTTCCAAATCTAAATAATTTTTCTAGATTAATGACAAATACTAAAAGGAAAAAAAACTCATATCATTTAAGCAAATTCTTAAGAGATGCATTTGATAGAAGAAAGGAACAATTATAAAATATTAAACAATCTTAGATCTTTGCCTTGATTGGTATTAAATTGTCGATATACCTAAAATAATCCAAACACAATATATGCATTGTTATGTATAATGTTCATTCAATATATGTTTGCTTTTGTTATATTCATTATTGTGTGTTTGCCATATGTATTTTTATGTTTGTATTGCCAAAGGCAGATATCTGCCGAATTGCAAATAAAATTTTGACTTTGATTTGTATTTTAGATAACGTTGCGTTAAAGAACACAAGCGATGCCAGAAAAAAGAAAATAATAATGATTAAGGCTGGACATGGAAAAGGAATATTTATACAAATTATGTTCTTAATATACTTTTTTTTCGTTTATTTTACATTTTTTTCGCTTGCCTGAAGGCGTTCAATTTTAAAAAGCATTATTCTTCTTCTTGCTTTAAAATGTTAATATTAAAAGCTTTGCCCACCATGCCGGAAAATAAATGAAAGAGAATTTTGTCCGTTTTGGCTTTTGTTTAAGTTGACTTTAGTCTGGTTTGAGAAGACAGGGGAGGGAAGTCTTCTTAGTAATTTCAACCGGTAATACTGAAGACTCAATTCTTTGTATGACTTAGCTCCCCTGATATTCTGTCATGCCGTGCTATATTTACTGGAAATGTGCCATGAAATTAAATGTTATATATATTTGCTGAAGTGTCTATATATTCTTTATATGAAATGAAACAGATAAATAACGCTGGAGCTTTATCTCAACATAGTGATATCCCCTTCACTTTTCATCCGCTGGTCTGTGAAATTGATTACTAAAATAGCCCTTGACGAAACGTTCTACGGGTCATTTTTGTCAAAATGAAAAAAAAGGAATATTGCGGTAAGATTTGCGGGTGTGTGTGTATGTTAGTGGGTGTAAATAAAATAAAATGAGAGGTTTTGGCGTATGTAAAACATAGGTTATCCGAAATTAAACCGATCGAGTCTCCTTGAAAACAGAATACTCTTTGCATCATGTTATTGATATTATTTATTGTTAAAGAAAAACACAAGTACGGTAGTCTGTATATAAGCTGTTGATTTTCGATTTTTGTTTAAAATAATCGCTCGATTTGTGAAAATCAATTAGTTTTTAAATCTGTTTAACCTTTTATCTAGGTGATAATATTTACTTTAATATATTCGTAATATTTACTTTAATATATTGGCAGGACTTACAGGTAATCCGTCCATTAGTAGGTCTGTTGAACAGATTTGTTGATTCAAATCAACTCACTTTAACAACGTATGTAATCTTCTATGTAAACATTGCAATGTATTCGCCTTGCTTGGAGATAGTCTAGTATCTCGTCTGTATGTCCATGATTCGTGCCAAATTAATAAATGTCAGCTGTTTAATAAAACTTAACGGTTATCCTGCTGATTTTGTTTTATGGATTTGCCCTGCTTTAAATTTAGAACAGTCCATTCGAAGTTTAAGGGATTTCAATATCAAAATAAACAAAATAGAAAAACAAAACAAATAATAATAATAATAATAATAATAATAATAATAATAATAATAATAAAAATAATTAATAATAATAATAATAATAATTGCTCAGTCTGCACAAAAAGTTCCGGCTGGCCTGGCTCTATACTGTTGAAAAAAAGCTGATCGATTCCTGCAAGATTAACAATTCTAAAATTGGCGATTTAGGAAAAGCGACATCGATGGCACTGCTTGTTGCATCTGTGTAAAAACTAATTTGGTGATACCAATATTGGCCAATATCTTCGTTATATTAATGGAAGTAGTTTAAACATATTGATTTTTGCTTGATAGTGAAAGCATTAATTTGAACCACTAAGTCCGCTTTCTGGAACTAACCAATACTTCATATGACAAAACATTGCCATTGTGCTAGTAGGGCTCAAACCAACGATTCCTGGGCTGAGTGGAGTTACTAGGACACAGCCCCCTTTGTAACTGTACAATTCAATTCAATGTTTATTTGGCTTTAAAATATAATATTATACAATGTCTATCGCCAATACATATAGTATTATGGCGGCAGAAGACGGTGATAGTGAAAGATATCCGCTCATTATTATCAACATTCATGGCAGCTGAAATGTAATAAAACTGACGATATGAATGAGTGAATAAATGAGAACGACGAGAGTCAATTTCAATTGAAAGAACCTTAAAATCTATCTTTATAGCGTTTTACTTAAGAAATCAGGACAACACTGGAAATGGTACACAAAAGTGGCATTCTAAAAACAAAGACCTCTTTACAACAATCGCAAAGTTCAAAGTTTATTGGCATCGCCTATATCCAATTACAATTTATGATTATTGCAAAGACAATAAATGTGATACAAACAAATAAACAAATAAACAAAACAAACAAACGATATGTATGAGGAAGGTATTCACGATCAGTATAATCCAAGAGTATTTGTACGTACAGATAAATCATTCGGTATCAATTTATTTTTTTTAATATGGTTTTCCTATACTTGAAGGCATTAATTTATTAAATTTTGGTACAGTTGGCATTTAAGAATTGACCTCGATATTTTGACCTCTTTATATCGGTAATAGTATCAAAAGGATCAATTATTTCCAAAAATAGAACTTCACAAAAAAACCTCTCCTCAGCGGACACCCAAAATATTTGTCTCCAAAAGAGTGTCGCTATACTGAGGTTGTATACTTGAAGCAATGAGCATACATGTATTTGATAGCAGGCATAATAAATATATATAGAAATACGATTGATAAAGAATCATATTAGTGGGATGATATACACAAAGGGAACACTCAAACTCTTGTACGTTGTCTTAAATTTATTGAATTTGTAAATCATGCTATTCTGTTTAAAGTACGGCCGCCTCGAGATAAGAAATAAGAGCCCGCCCATTGTAGCGTTGGAGCAGACGACAAATAGTAATATTGTTATCTAGTTTATGACCATGAGCCACGACTTTCTTCTAATCTAAGCATTGATGATTGGCATTTTTGTTTCTTAATCTTTTGGTATTGCAAATCAATAATGGTAGATATATAGAACATGAACTCACTTTCTAAAGTTTTTGCGCAGTTTAATGTTTCTTTATTTATGCTCTGACGTGATACCTTCTTGAATTTATATATATGTACGGAATTCTTAATTCTGATAACTGAATAGAATATTTATTTTAATGTATATCAGAAAGGAGGATTCTTTATTATAATAAAATAGGATTTGCATAATTGGATTTTTATTAGAAATGGCGGGAACAAAAGTTGATGTGCTTAAGGAAGATGGCACTACGGTTTGTACGGTTTTATTACATGTAATAACTTGTTAGTTAAAGGCACGTGATACCAAAGAAATGGATAAATTATTACTTCTTTTGAAAAGTGAAACGTGAGTTAACGTGAGTTTTATAGCATTTAAATAATGGTTTTAGAGCAAAATAGATGTTTTTTACCTGAAAAAATTAAAGTAGCACTAAACGTAAATGAATTTATTACAAATAAGCAAAATGTAAACAAAGTAATATTTTGACTTCCATAAAATACTTAATCACTATAATTGTACTAAAACGCAACAGAAGAAAAGGTAATTGGTCAAATGAGTAACTTTTTGGAAACAATAAAATTACACAGAAAATACAAAGCTTTTGAAAAATAAAAATAATTGCATTTCTGGGACATGATGGGCCTTTAATGTTTCTTATAAATAATTATTCATTTAATCAATATTTATCATCTTGTTTGATCCAAATAACCTTAATTTGTTGAAATAATAAATATCAGCCGATATCTTAAAACGTGGGCGAAATTCGGTTAAAGTAAAAAAAATAAATATCTGATTCGAACGGCACGATTTTAACACAGCACTTAAAACACTGTTGTTAAGTTCTGTAAACTTGATATTTATGTTCACATTATGTAAAGATTTTGTATGCATACACTAAAATATATATAAACTTGTTTGATATATTGCATTCTGCAATTCATCATAGACAATGTATAGGTTTCGATCATTTATGAATGTTTATCCATCTGTCCGTATGTCTAATTATCCATCCATCCATCCATCCATCCATCCATCTTACCTACCTACCTACTAATCTTCGTTGCTTTATTGCTTCTTTAAATCGTTTTACATTACTTCTAATTACAATTATTGCACATTTAGCGCACTACAGTTTATATTTGAAAGTTTATTCTAAAGTTAACGATTTATATAGATGTGTCACTAGCCAAACAGACCTTTAATGAAATAGGTTTTTTTTTTTTTTTTTTTTTTTTTTTTTTTTAATCATGCGAAGTCATTTTAAATGATGCCTTTATTTCCTACAATTATTTTTATCATTTCAGGAACAGAAACATGCGTTTAATTTCAACACATACGCCACAAAGAAAACAATCGCAAAAGGTTTACTGGACATAGGTCTACTAATGGCCAACGCTTCTCAGCTGAAATCTTTGCTGAGTCTAGGTTCGGCACAAGACTACTACTACGCCAACTTGGTCCTTATATCTATTTCCATCGCCCTTCAGCTAACAGTCGGTGTGATTCTTCTTGTTCTGGGGAGTATGGAGGGGAAAACAACAGAACAGAGGAAAAGCGCTAATACATTGAACAACGTTACTGTGGGATTCGTTTTTGCAATCACAGTTGTGAATATTTTCATAGCAGCTTTTGGCATAAAATTGACAGAGCAATGAATGTAAAATCTTTCAACAACTCCGTACAAAGTTTACGTCACTGTTTAAACATTCCATGCCTCAAATTAACTTAAAATTAATCGAATATCACAACAAATGTTCTCTATAATTGGTATCCAAATGGAACAACAAATAAAGATTTTTATTTGCTGATGAACTCACAAAGTGAAGAAACCATTTATAAATGATCTGTTTGTGTATCACTTGTTGAAAAGTAAGAACTCTGTACTTCAAAATTCTATTCTAGTATTACGTTGTGCAACTGCATTGATTCAATAAATGTATATCATATATACATGTATATTGATGTGTATATTTGACCGGACACCTTTATTTTAAATAAATATGAGTCGAGTCGACTTGAATCGTGGATTTGTATATACATGTATTTCTAATGTATTGAAATATGCTTTCTCAAGACGGAGCTATCATGTTGCAGTATGCCTGGGATATTCCATAGTGTAACTGTAATTTTTGCACTGTAGATGTACATAAATGTCAATACTTGAATGTAAATACTTAAATGTCAGTACTTGAATGTCAATGCTTGAATGTTAAAACTTAGATGTCAAAACTTGGATGACATTTTTTTTGTCTATACTTGAATGTCAATTTTTGTACTTATAGATGTCAGAACTTGAATGTTAAAACTTAAATGTCAATACTTGGATGTCATTTTTGAATGTTAATATTTAAATGTCGTTACTTAAAATTATCATAACTTAAATGTCTATTCTTGATGCTTGATGTTAATACTTAAAATGTCATTACTTGAATCCTACTGTTAATACTTATTTGCCAATACTTGAATGGCATTTCTGGAATGCTAATTAGTGCTTGAATTGCACATTGTTCAAAGTATGCTTTCTAAAGTGTGATTGTCATACAGAAGTAGGATCATGTACGCATTTACTATTAAAACAGAAGTACATGTGACACAAGATGGGAAAATGCTTTTTATTTTATATCAACATTATTATAATTATTGCTCAGCGTTGTTTGTTTTCTTGACGAATAGCCTTTTTAATTGTAATTGGCAGCAGAAACACACAGCTGATAAAATCACATTTGCATATCAAAATTTATTGTTAACCTATGCAGTTTGTCATACTATTCATATAATCAAATAAACTTATTTTAGATATGCAAAAAATGTTTGTCATTTATAGAGCCAACGAATGCATGTGACATTTCTTAAGTTGAACATTTCAGGTCAGCTGTTGAAGAATTTTCCATTTAGCAGATCTCACGATTTTGAAATATTTCCCAATTTGCGACTGCAGGACAATTGTAAATATGACACTTAAAGTAAAGTTATAACGCCGATATCAGTTTCTCCAATTTGGTTTATAGCATATACATGTACTAGTATTATATGATAATAAATTTAATGTGAAGTATACAATATATTATTAACAGTCCATCGTTTATCAATGACTTCTTATCTAAATTCCCAAATTTCAAATAGAGTAGCGTTATATTTATTGATTACAATTAGATAAAATAAAATTTGAACACATATATTCTAAAGATCCATCCAAGTTCTCAACGGAATGTCCGACGTAAAGTCCGGCACATGAATGTTTTTCTGACCACTAATTTTTTCGAATATAGGTCTCGGCCTAGTGAAATTATTATAAAACAATAATAAATTAGTCACACTTAAGGCTATATTATGTATTCCAGTGTTCTTTTTTAATTATATCCTGATTATAAGCATTAAACATCAACGCTATCTAAGTCAAAGAGGCCCGAAATATCATATGATATGCCCCGGTCACATATTCACGGATAATGCCACGGAAGAGCTACGGTCTTATCGTTCACGGATTACTACGGAAATGTGAAATTCCGTAGTCTGCTACGATTCCAGAACGGACACACAACGGTATGAGTACGGAGTCCGACGGATTTACCCCTGGAGAGACACGGATTGTTACGGACCGACACGGTTTGATACGGAGCGACACGAATCAGGACGGACGCACTACGGATACACTACGGTCTGCTACGGTATAAGCACGGGTTAGTACGAATAAGTACGGTCTGATACGGAGAAGAACGTATTGATACGGAGAAGAACGAATTGCCACGGATCTATACGGACCTAATACATCCGTCCACAACCTCTTGCTTGCTCATTTTCAAAATGCCTCAAAAGAAAAGAACACCTAGAAAACGAATTGCAGCGTTCAATGATTTTGGCGGAGAGGATTCAGCCTAATCGCGTCCGAACCCCGAGACACATCAGGTCCAATTAAAGTGAATTTCTTGAAGGACGCTGGATCCTCAACAAGTTCGGCCATGAGAGCCTCATACTAAACATGAAGCGGTCTTCGTAAAAGCCCATCTCTAGTCCACCATCTCGTCTGTCTTCTCTTACCTGATTAGATATGGACTAGTAATCATTAATGAAAAATGTTGATCAATACTGCTTCTCTTTTAATTTTAAGATTTGCTGTTCATCTTACAACATCTTACAATTACATTAATTACCGTGATGTTTATGTTTTAAAAATATGTAAAAAGCTTGTTAATTAATCTTATTATCTCTGAAGGACCAGTGTCCGAGGCTTATGAGACACTTCGTTTTATGTACATATTTACTCCATTTTCACGATCCAATGTTTGTAAAATATGTAACATTAAATGTTATTCTATTTCTTATGAATTGTAGTACGATATTAATATAAATTTACTTCTATGCATGTCATCAAGCAGCTTGACCACTGCCTCCGCATTCTGAGCCATTTCAATATAAAGTTGCAGCCAGTAAATGGCAATTATCATTTATTAAATGTTCCTGCAAATATATATGTCTGTTTTTAATAAGAAGGTAGTGTGTATACTCTTGAAAAAGTACACGATTCTTAATGCATCCGTGCTAAACAGTAGTGGGCCGTACCATTCCGTACTGTTTCGTGTTGCAACGCAATAAACCGTATAAGACCGTGCTAATCCTTGCCTCTCCGTAGTACAACGTATTACGATCGTGGCTGTCCGTGACAATGCCGTATTAATCCGTAATAAAACCGTAGGTTATACGTAGGGTAACCGTACAAATACGTAGTTCTCCGTACCAAACCGTGGAAATCCTTGACAAGTTGGTGGACTACGAATCAGTACGGACTATTACGGTTTTCGTACGGACCAGTACGTATTAGTACGGATTACTACGGACTAGTAGGGATACGCTACGGTTGATTTTTCCGTAGAAAATTTTTGTGCATGTTCAAAAATTGTCAAGGATCGCTACGGATATACAAGGACTACTACGATTGATTACGGTTACGATACGGAGAGCTACTGACCAGTACGGGTAGCTACGGACGATGCCGGAATTAATCCGTGGCTCTTCCGTGGGCGTATTCCGTGAATATGTGACCGGGGTAATAGCCATCTACATTTTTCAGAAATCTTCTTTCTGTTGTAATACTGTTCACCACAAGTTTAAAAAAACCCTGACTGTTGGAGGGTAGTACATCTTTTATCCTTCCACCAACAAATGATATCCTGGAGAATACACAAAAAACAACTATTGAAGTCATCATATAACAGACAAAAGCTACACAGATGCTATAAATACACTTTATGACTTATCAAACTAGAGATGACTTAACTTGGATTATTTTAAAATTTTAAAGAGCTTTATAGACTACAAAGGGTTAGGTCTAATTCCTTACCGAAGTGTTACCATATAAATTGGGCCTAGAGAGTGTACATCAAAGCTAAACTCGGGTCGTTTAGTAGGTTACGATGGACTCCGCAAAATTGAGCTTTTCACGAAAAAAAAATTCGTACAATTATACTAATCGACCAACGTGGTTTTGAAAATACCTTCTACAACGCATTTTCATGAATTACATTGTGTAATTCATTTGATAGCATGTCTGTTTCCATAATTTCTTTTCGGGAGGCATTTAATTTCCCTTCCTTGTTTTTATTCTTGTAGAGTGTATATTTTGCGCAAACTGGTACAATTTGTATAAAAACAAATCAGTATTTTGCTTTCAGTATTTGCCGTGCAAGTAATTATTCTCATTCTATCTGTTTCCGACCGAATCACAATAGTTCTTGTTAGTAAGGCATACATACTCAGATTTGTTTATCGATGATCCGCTGAGTAAAGATTTTGCAAGATTATAATCCCAGCCTGTAAGATGTTCTGTAAGATGTTGAAAGCAATGAGGAGAAAGTATCTGAACAACACAGCAAAACTAGGAAAAAATTAAAAGATTTCAAACAATACACACTGAATTTACACAGTCATAAAGTAAACAAAAACAAGACAAACTAAGAAAAAATGAGAAAATTGCTTTAAATAATACACACAAAAGAGTGTAAGTTATTCATTGAAGAAACTACTAAAAATTACTTTGATATCTTTTAGGTCTCAGTCACCAGAATTCGAACAAGAGCAAAGTTCGAAAAAGGCGCATCAGAAAGAAAGGATAGACAAGATGATAACGACCAAATTGGCTTATGGAGCATTATGGGTTTTCAGATTAAAGTAAATAAATGAGCTGCAAGATGTGCCTTGTACTTGAAATTTGAAAAAGTAGCTTTAATTAATCTAAACTAAACTACCTGACCTTTATCATTATCAAAGATTAAATCATCAAAACAATTAGCTTGTATGGATTTTAATAATGAGATAATAAATAATTTAAATACAGTACAAGCATTGAATAACGTTATCTTTGCTTACATATTATGATACTTTATTTTAAGCCGCTGATGTGATAATTAGGCTGATGTGATAATTAGGCGCTATAAAATACAAATGCTTTAGACGACGTGAACAAAAGTCGAAGCTGATTTAGTTTTACAAAATAAATATGTCATTTTCGGGTAGTAGAATCGTATTGGGCGGAACAGAAGAAGCCAATCCGGTGAGTTGAATTTTATTATATTATGTATGCCATTATGGCACCCTTACATTTTACTCAAAAGATGGAATGGGAAATGTTACAATGTTACAAACTTTCTGTGATAAGCCAACTGTCCGGAATTTCATTTAACTCGAATATTGGTTTGAAAATATTTATCTCTTTAGACAAAGACAATTCATATTATGAAAGGTACTGTGTAAACAGCAAAGTGTGTTTTCTGGCATCTGTCATGTTATATAAAAAATCTCAAGGCCAGGGTTGGTCCTGTCAGATGTGTATTTGGTGCGTCCTTTGCTAGACATTTTTTTAATGAAATGGCCATGGCATTGTCTTGTCTGGATCAAATTATGCATGGCTGTTTCGTTGATTTCTTCTAGTTATCTCCATCTGTCTATTTTTTCACAATTGTCCTGTTAAGTTCTTACCTTTGTGGTAGCACCAGTATCTTGTCCTGCTTCGTAGTACGGTTGAAAACATCTAGATTTACGAACATGAATTTTGATTTTTGGTTTTAATCTAACCAGACAGGTCTTTGTGTTGAAATGGTAGTTAAATGGCGCAATAATGTTTTATTGCGAGATAAAGCTATTATTGCTTTTTGTACATTAAAGTGAAAAATATATGGAAAAAAGCTACGTGTTTTATTTGAAGTTTACTTGAACTATTTTAAAACTAACTATCAGATATTATATCATTATTAAAGATTAAACTTATCAAAACAATTACAAGTACTAGTATGTTACATGTACTTTGATAGTGAGGTAATAGATACTTTATATACAATACGATTGTTGATTTACGTTATCATTGCTTATAAAAAAATATACCATTTTATTTTAAGCAACTGGTGATTTAAAGTTCACTGTACAGGTGTTTTAGAGTCATAACTTTTGTATTTGTCTACAATTTAAAGAGGTATTTTATAGTCATAACTTTTTTATTTGTTTACAATTTAAAGTATGTCATCTTCGAATAGTACAATTGCATTATACGGAACGGCCGATAGTGGTACGGTAAGTTAGAATAATTGATTTTGTTTTGTTTAGATCTGTTAAATATTATTTATATTATTTATTTCATTTTACCAGCAACTGTTATGTGCCTGCTGACGTGGTCTTTTGGAAGGAAAATTTGAAATTTGAGAATCATTAGATGCAAAATTTCAGATCATGCGCTCACTTATCTTTTCTTTTCAATTTTTCTAAATAAATTTAATTGTGAATCATTACCCAAACATGAAAGCGTTGCAACGTTTTTAATTCAAATTGGACTAAGATTCATTTCACTAATAATCAACTTTCAATACAATTCTGAGTAATTTTCTTTATAATGTTTAGCATATTTTTTCATTTAAAGTCCATCAGTGTTATAGACTTTTGAACTTCAGAAGAGGTCATTTAACACTTTAACTATCTTCATGAAAGAGAATGTGTGTAAATATTGAATATCATGAGAACTAGGATTTAAGAGTTAAAACGAAACTGTGGTACCAACCTTTACGCTGTGCGCGGAAAGAGGGGGGTAAAACGAAACTGTGGTACCAACCTTTACGCTGTGCGCGGAAAGAGGGGGGGGGGTATCGTAAAAGCTTTCTTTATAGGGCCATTGTGGAGAAATTATTGGTACCCGATTATCTTAGGACTAGGTACAATTAGTTCTCAGACTCTGCACTCCTATCAGTTGCAATTTAGCAGTACCAGTTCCAAGTCGATCCGTTCGTTAAGTTTTCTTTATATATATTATCCAGTCATGTAAATTGCAACAAAGCGGAGATGGGGCAGTATAGCAATTTAAATGGGACAAATAAGTTAAAGTTGTATATCTTTTGTACTGTACTGTTTGCAATCTATCAAGAAATTTCATGTAATTCAATTGTATAGTTCTGAGTTGTGCTTCGGACAAAGAGATAGCCTACTATATACATTAAATTGTAGTTTCTAAATGTTCTTCTTTGATTAGCGGGGGGATCATTAGCGTCTAAGGGTAGACATCAAAATATTATTTCTTACATCCTGTCAGTATTTCAAATGGTGAAACACCTTTGATAGAGACAATGGGTGATTTATATGAACTTGACACACAACACACTATATGTTTTCTGTTTTGTTCTATATGGTGCTATTGAATTAATCTTTGAAAAACTCTTAGAGTGATCTTTAATACGGCAAAATATAAGACATAATTTTTTAATTATAACCTGTACAATCACATTGTTTTGATATTTTTAGGATCATATCTTTAGATGTGTACGACAAAGCACGACTATAATATTTAACAATTATCGAAGATATAAGACAGGATGAATAGACCCCAAACAAAAACAAAACTGTTTTTTTGCTGTATATTTATGGTTGATTTTGCCCCTGACATTTGCTTTTAAAATTATTTTTACCATTAGGTACATTAAAAAATTGCTCTAATTGTTCTTAAATGGGCTTGCTTCAAATTTAAAAAATACATGTAAAACATTGAAATTAAAATGTTTTTAGTTTTTCCTATTTGACATTTTTCTATTTGAATGATTGCATTACTCCTACTTGAACACTGTATTATGTTACCTGCTTTTAAAATGGGTCTTTTGACTGTTTCATAGCCTCTCATCTCCTTTCAGAATCCTATCCCATTGTTTACTTGTTAAGGGCAAAGCATTGTAACACCGCACTTTGGGGTCAAACGCACTTTGGGGTCCGACCCCAAAGTGCGTTAAACTTCGCACCGCACTTTGGGGTCAAACGCACTTTGGGGTCAAAATCGAGAAATTGACCCCAAAGTGCGTAAATATGCTACATATCAACGCACTTTGGGTTCCAGAGGTCTAAAGGTGTAATCTGAGTTCTGCTTAAATACTGAGAACTGACTTATTTTCGATCTTCGACATTGAAATATTTGAGGTGGAGTTCAAGATGGCTGTAGATACTTTGTTTGATGCTTAAGTGATAAAAAATTCATTAATTTTACCACTTAAAATATCCAATAATAATAATAATTTGTTCATATAACAAAATTACGGTGGCATAAAAGTGACAATTGCATTTATTTAAGTTTTGCATACATATTTTTATTTAAGTTTTGCATACATATTTTTTTTCAGTTTTGCATTCATATTTTTTTTTTGAGCTTTGCATTCATATTTTATTTAAGTTTTTCGTACATTTTTTTTATTTTGGTTTTTCGTACATATTTTAGCCAATCAAAACAGCCTTCACATCTCATAACAGCCCATAGTTGAGTATAAAACTAGCACAGTAGTTTGGTCACATTTCGGCCCATTTTTTGGAATCGGCCCAGTCGTTTTTGGCCGCGCAAGTCTGGTTTCGGCCGACCTTTTTCGGCCCATTTTTTAAATCATATGTATTTAATATAATAAGTGTATTTTTTTTTAATTATTATCTACTGTTATATTAGTGTCTACTAGTATTTGGAAAGGGCTGTTGATTGGTGAATGAACATGCACCACTCAACCCCACCCCCTGAGTATAGCGGGGGGAAGGGGCATTGACTTTAAACCAAGCCGACCACTGGTAAAATCTTCGCCCTGCGGGGGATATTCAGATAATAACATTCCTGCCTTATGCCCCGGAACAGACATCACACGATTATATATCAGAGTATATCATGTATATATCAGAGACATAGATAATATCTATGTTTCTGTATATATATATATACTAAAAAGTGTTATTATCTTTTTGATACCTCCAAAAATGAAAATGTTGGTATTTGCAAATGGCGTTTGCAAATGGGGTACTGTAATTTACAGATGGCGAAGTGTTTGAAAACGGTGTTTTACAAATGGCGTAATTATCCAAACCTCTACTTTGCAAATGGCGTCATGTAAAATTATGTACGGAAAAAAGTAAAAAACAAAACAAAATTAAATATGTATGCAAAACTTAAAAAGAATATGTATGCAAAACTTAAAAAGAATATGTATGCAAAACTAAAAAAAAGTATGTATTCAAAACTAAAAAAAAAATGTATGACAAAAAAAAAAAAAACAACAAAAAATATGTACGAAAAAAAAAAGTATCAAAAACAAAAAAGTTGCAAATGTCACTTTTTTGCCACCGTTCAAAATATTTTAGTACAGAAATCGTGTATTCCTAAAGTTTAAAGATGCTGCGAAAAATATCCCGTTCTGTCATTCATTTACTTGGTGCCATGTAAAGCTCCATTTTAAATATGTAAGGAATGAAATAAAATGCAGTTAATATTCCCCCCCCCGTAACAACCGTTCGCCAGATGCTTTTTTAATGGGAAATCTTACATACTTCTTTAGAAAGATGAATTTTATAATGTTAAAATAATAGTATCAGAGAAATGTAAGATGCTTGTTACCTGAATAAGTAGCGATAAATGTGAAATTATTTGTCATAAAAGTAGTCAAAACAATGTAGTATTTGATTTCCATATAAAACATGTAAACTACTTATCACTAAAACAGTACTGTACTCATCATTGTCAAAAAGCAACAGATAAAAAGATGGTTCAGGTAATTGGCCAATGTGTATTTTTTTGATAATATAAAAGAACATCAAAATAAAAAGCTGAAGAAAAACAAATAAAAGCATAATGGGCCTTTAAAATGTTATTTTTAATCTCGGGGGGATCGATATACCCCACAATCCCCTCTATACCCCCAGTGAGAATTTTACATTATTTTGAAGCTCGCTCTTAATGTGCGACTACTTAAATAGTTGAAATTTTTTTACTGCATGTACGGACTACTACTTAAAGCCGCATCTTCACCTAGTCAAGTTTCTAATGTGTCACATTTAGCTAAATGAATGGCTATTTTAACATATTATCAGGCAATTTTTTTACTGAAATGTCTTACTAAGATTACCCAGAATTTATACCTTTGTCTATGCAAAGACTATCATATTTCTGTAAAATGTGTAAATAACAAACGGGAAAATGATGCATTTAGCTAAAAACAATGGAGTTAATGAAAGGTGTACATTCTTTTAAAATAAATGGAAGTTTTAGAAAAAACATATTTTAAGCTTAAAGCTGCATGCCTCCAGATGAGTCAAAATATTTCAATAAAATCAAACTTGAGAAATATGTACTACTATTATAGGAAATGTAAAATGATTCAAGATTCAAGTAATATTTTAAATGTTATGTGCGGTCAATGACTGAGTTTTCAATATTTACAACTATATTCCTACTGCGTTACTAACGCATTAAGGGCTATTTATGCATATTATGACAACTTTTTGGTAATTTACGTTAGTTTTAAGTGCCATTGATAATGTGCAAATTGCTTGCTTTTGGTTGTTCCACAATATTATACATTCAAATAAATTTTCTAAATTTTCATGAAAATTAGCGTGAATCTGGAGGCGTGCTGCATTGATACAAATTCTTTTTTTGGTGATTTATTTTGTGAAAGTTCTTCACTTACTAATCAAGACCATTTAAATCCCTATTGATTCAGGGCACATGTTTTGTGTCTATTTAATACCTTGATTTTTGTTTACCATTGGCTTTGACTACACTATATTATTTAAAACAAAATGAACATAAATTTTCTCTGACCCCAAAGTGCGGTCGTTTGCCTGATGTTGAAAAATGCATATGTACCTGTTTAACGCACTTTGGGGTCGAAATTGGACCCCAAAGTGCGTGACGCACTATGGGGTCCGACCCCAAAGTGCGTAACGCACTTTGGGGTTCGACCCCAAAGTGCGTTTGACCCCAAAGTGCGGTGTTACAAAGCATACTTTTTACTTAGGGACCATTCGTCGCTTTTCATGGAACGTGTCACATTGAAGGTTTCATGATATATGCAGACACATGTGGATATTTCTAACGTTCACCATTTCATGTTTTGAATAAGCCGGTGCTAGGGGTGTTATCAGTAGCTCGCAATGTCTGCTAACTTTCATGAAAAGACTCAATGAAACCGAACTTGCAATATTTTCAATTTTGCCGTTTTGAGCGTTCTTATGGCTTCTGTTTTTCTGTTTTAAGTAGAAACCAGGTATGCATATCCATATCATGATTGCTTTTTGTACATAACTATTTCATTGCTGATCAATTTTAGACAAATTGCACTTATGATTGCAACAGACGGTTTCATAGCCTCTGATCTCATTTTCAAAATTCCATTTTATTTTTAAATTTGTATTTTGACGACTTCATAGCCTCTGATCCCCTATTCAAAATTCCATTTTATTTTGTTTCGCCCATTGTTTTCTCGTTAAGGGTATAAGCATACTTTTAGTTTCGTCGCTTTTCATGGTATGGCAATAAGGTGCTACGTTGATGGTTTTATGATTTTTTCAGGAATAAACGTTTCTTTCCATTTCAGGTAGAGAACAAGTCGTCGTTTGACTTCAATAAGTATGCTACAAAGAAAACCGTATCGAAAGGTCTTCTGAACATCGGCCTGCTGACGTCTAACGCAATGCAGCTAAAAACAACTATTAGCCAAGGTTCCTCACACAGCTATTTCTACCTGAATATCGTTATGATCACCATTTCCATTGTCCTGCAGATTGTCCTCGCAATTTTATTGGTGAAGCTCGGACTCAATAAAGGACAACACGACGAAGCAATGAAGAGCGCAGACAGACACAATAATGTTGTTACCGGCATTGTGGCGGTCATAACCGTCATAAATATACTCATATCAATTTTCACTGCCTGAAAACGATAACAGTTTTCTTAGACTGGAGACTTAACTGATATCTATTGTTATAATTCCATTTTCTTGGACTTGACTGATAAATACAGTTCTTATTCCAAACATTCAATAATTCGATTCTTATTTTTTATTTCATATTAAAGAAAATATAAAATGATTTAGTTTACTAGCATTCTTATGTTGAATTATTCAATCTGTTTGCAGCTGGAAAAAGTAACAGTCGGTTGTGATTGACCGTTTATTTCTTCCAACAATGTTAATATTGATAAAAAAGACACATTTATAAGAAAAGCTTGCTGAAAATTGTAAAGTACAAATAATATTTACAATTTACATGTACATGTATATTAAGGAAATTAAATGATATAATAATTTTGTTTGTTTTTCGTTAATAACCATTAGTGCATCAAAACTGAAAAAAGACATAGCTCAATGCTGTGAATAAGTCAAATTCTTAAAAGAAATAGAATGGAAGTGAAAGTTTTTATATCAAATTTTAGACAAATGTCGCACATACGTACAATTTAGGTTGTAGAGTTATCCCCCTTATAAGCTATACACAGTCATATTGATATATGCATAAAATGTATAATATGAGACTTTAATAGGTGAAATAAAATAAACATAATTATTTATTCAAACATATAAATAAATAAATAAATAAATATACAAGCAAGCAAATTTGTGTGAATTTACAACTTAAATGTTTTTTGGTTGCATAGAAAAAGGCATTTCTTTAAACGCGTACACGCTGCTGCACAAGTGCTAAGAATCATTCCTGTGTGCGTTTTTGTTACACATCACTAGGTCACGGTTTCACGAGGTTAAAAGATTCCCCATTTACTGCCCATTTAGACTGAGAGACTACACTTGGTGGTGATGGTCACTTTGAAAATGTTTAAAAAATGTTGGCCGTTTGGAGGATATGCAGTTCAGTTTTTAATCCGCTATCTGACCCTACTCCATGAGTTCTTAATATGTTGCTTTATATGTTAAAGAGTGCCCAAATGATGATGATTTAAATGTTTTAGTGTTTCTTACCTTTTTGCTTTAAATGTTTAAGTGCTTCTAAGTGTTGTTGTTTTAACTGTTTAAGTATTTCTCACATTTGTTGTCGTGTTGTAATCATGTTCTTTAAAATTTCAAATTGGTTATAATTGTATTGTTTTAAATATTATTCTTTAAGTTTTCCAAGAGCTGCTTTGACTATAACAAACAAAAATGCTCTTTTGCCGCTTTGATTGTTAGTTACACAGGTGTAGTGATACTTCTTCGCTTTTAAAAATGTTCACGTACCTTGTCGTGTGTGCGTTGGATTCTACATATTGAATTGTAATTGCGATATTTTGACTGTTACATACTTTTGAATAGTACAAATAAGGGCGTTTCCCATGAAGATAAGCCTTTTATCTGAAGTTACCTATTTTCAAGTCTGGTCAAAGTTTGGACTCTATAAATTATTAGTACACGTGGAAAGATTTGGACATTTTAATGTGATTAACTAACATGAATCCTTCTGTATAAGTACAAAACATTGTAATTCATATGCCACACCTCGCCATTGCCAAAAAATCAACTTAGAAATGATAGAATGGAAGTTTTTTCAACACGTGAATTTGAAAAGCATGCTACCATTTCAGTAAGTAACATAAAAATGTATTGAACATCTGGACAAAAGTAATGTTTATTTCGATAATTGATCAATTTTATGTTCAAATGACATACAATCTAAGTAAAATTTGAAATATTATCAACCTGTAAGACGTTTATGTCATTTCTTAATATAGTTCGTAAGAATGTCATTACCACTTAAGTCAACAGAAATATATGTTCATTCCATTTTTCATGTCTTCGAATGTATGTCTGTTAAATTCACGCGATGCATAAAAAATAAAGTTGTTCAAGGCCTTGTTACTTGATTGTATGTTGAATTTTTGTAGCAATGCTGTTAGAAGCCATCCATATACCGGTCCTATACCAAAGTATGACGGGAAAGAGATGATTTGATGTCAATCAGTGATAATAGGAAATGAACATCTCTGTGATTTTGGTGTAGACAAAAGTAGATTGCAAAATCCTTAAATTCAAGTATTAGTTTTAAGTAGAAAGGAAATCGATCAATCACCCACAAAGGCAAAAATAACAGAAGATTTATAAATAATTTTATTACAATTTTTAAAGACAGAATCAATTAAAGAGTAATACAGACGTAGACTTGTGACCAGTTTAAAATTCAAAATAGGGCCAAGAAGCAAAATAATCTATGCGACGCACACATCCGGTATGTAAGAACACAATTATGGAAAAAGCAATTATGAAAAAGTAATGTGCATCGAATTTACATCATTAAAATCGACTTTCTTAAAACAAAACAAAAATTGAAAGATTGAAAGTGCATAGTCAGTGACAACGAGTGGCAGATGGTGCAGTTATTCAAGCGGGATAAAATGCTAAATGAACTAACGTTACATGGACAATGCCAAGTAAACAAGGAGAAGAAAAAAAAGAAGATGAAGAAGAAAAACAACGACAACAATAAAAACAAATATTTTCCTGGCCCAAAATAGTCCGAGTGCGATCTCACAGGCTCATTTTTGTAAAATTTTGCCTGCAGTCGGTGCACTCTTACTATTGTGTTGCTGGATGCTCTCCATCCATGTAATTTCCGCCTCGAGCTATCTGCACAGAACACTATAATATTTTGCTTTTTAAAAATTTCATTATCAAGATGTGGTAAAATTATTTGAGAGTTATGTTTCAAATATTTTTACTACAACTGTAAAATAGCTTTTATATTCCAATAAGAATCGCAATTCTACTCATATGAACGTTCACCAACTGTAAGTGAAATGGTATCTTTACAATAAAGGCGATTACACAGTTGATGCGATGGTCCGAAGAAACCCAAGGCATTCTTGAATGGACTGAAATTGTAGAAATATTTGTTTCAATTCTAGTGTTTTATTTATATTTTTGCAGCTTATTTATATTCGTTAACACTTGTGAAAAGAGAAATGCAAAATGAATGTTTTAAAATTTATTTATTTTATCTTAACTGCATTTTTGTCGACATGATTGGCATTAGTTAATGCCAGAGATGTTTGATCTTATATAGAGAAAGAACAAAACGCCGGTCCATTAAATGGCCATGCCATGCAGAAATCTCTCGGACATATTATTTGGGTAAGAGCTTCTTGCGTTAGCTAGAATTTTTAGCCACAAGTAGTTGTGAAGAAGATGGTCTGAAACATCACAATCAACTTGATTATTCCACTTTTTTGTAAGTATGTAGCGTTCAATTAATAATGGTTAACTGTGTATGACGACAATTCATGTGAGAACGTGCTCAATGCAGATGTGATCGATCAAAATTATGTAAAACACAATTTAAGGAGTTTATTGTCTTCATGAATCGGTTTGAAATTTTTAGTTGATCTACGTATATATCGAAAACAGCAATTGCCGGTCCAAGAAAGGGCCATGCCACGCGGAAATCTCCTAGAAAAATTGTTTGTGTTATGGATTTGGCGCTCATTTTGTGCAAAGAAGACCCTAGAAAGTTGTACAAAAACGAATTTGCAATGGAATTAGACAAATAGTTTTTAACGGTTGGCTATAGAAAAAGGTGTATTTTACGATACTTTATAGAGACAAAGAACAAATTAGCGGTTCAAAAAATGGCCATGCCACGCGGAAATTTCCTGGAATAATTGTTTCGGTTAGGGCTTTGTTGCTCATTTTGTTCACAGAAGACCCTCCAAAGTTGTACAAAAACGAATTTGCAACGGAATCAGACAAATGGTGTTTTAACGGTTGGCTATAGAAAATGGTGTATTTTACGATACTTTATATAGACAAAGGACAAATCGCCGGTTCAAAAAATGGCCATGCCACGCGGAAATTGCATGGAATAATTTTTTCGGTTAGGGCTTTGTTGCTCATTTTGTTCACAGAACACCCTCAAAAGTTGTACAAAAAAGAATTTTGCAACAGAATCAGACAAATGGTGTTTAAACGGTTGGCTATAGAAAATGGTGTATTTTACGATACTTTATATAGACAAAGAATAAATCGCCGGTTCAAAAAAGGGCTAAGCCACGCGGAAATTTCCTGCAATAATTGTATGGAAATGGCTTTGTTGCTCATTTTGATCACAGAAGACCCTCCAAAGTTGTACAAAAACGAATTTGCAACGGAATCAGACAAATGGTGTTGTAGCAGTTTGTTATAGAAAATGGTGTATTTTACGATACTTTATATAGACAAAGAACAAATCGGCGGTTCAAAGAATGGCCATGCCACCCGGAAATTTCCTGGAATAATTGTTTCGGTTAGGGCTTTGTTGCACCTTTTATTCACAGAAGACCCTCAAAAGTTGTAAAAAATCGAATTTGCAACGGAATCAGACAAATGGTGTTGTAGCGGTTGGATATAGAAAATGATTTATTTTACGAAAATTTGTGCACTTTATATAGACAAAGAACAAAAATTCGTTCTAAAAAATGCTCATGCCATGCGGAAATCTCCCGGACATATTGTTTGGGTTAGGACTTTGGTGCTCACTTAGTGAAAAGAAGACATTTAATGTTGTACAAAAACGAATATTAATTGCAATCAGACAAATGGTGTTTTAACTGCTGGCTATAGAGTATGGGGAATTTTAAGAAATTTAATGCACTTTATATAGAGAAAGAACAAAACGCCGGTCCATTAATTGCCATGCCATGCGGAAATCTCTCGGACATATTATTTGGGTAAGAGCTTCGGTCCAAATTTTGTGCAAAGAAAACCCTCCAAAGATGTGCAAAAACGAATCTGCAACAGAATCAGACACATTGTCTTTAAACGGTTGGCTCTAGAATATGGTATTTTTTTCACGAAATTTGTTTACCTATATACTTTAAGAACTAATCTTCGGTCCAAAACAGGGACCATTTTATGCGGACCTCTTGCTATTATTTTCTTTGCGTTAGCTAGAATTTTTAGCCTAAAATAGTTGTGAAGAAAATGGTCTGAACCATCATAATTAACTTGACTATTCCAATTTTATATTATTATTATTTTTTTTTATCTACGCAGCGCTCATTTTACAATGGCTAACTGTGTATGACGACATTTAATGTAAGAACATTCTCTATGCAGATATGATCTTAAACACAATTTTAGGAGGTTATTGTCTTCATGAATCGGATATTTATTGCAATCAGACAAATAGTGTTTTAACAGCTGGCTATAGAATATGGTGAATTTTAAGAAATTTAATGCACTTTATATAAAGAGAGAACAAAACACTTGTCCAAATAATGGCCATGCCATGCGGAAATCTCTCGAACATATTTTTTGGGTAAGAGCTTCGGTCCCTATTTTGTGCAGAG